CATTGATAACGTTCTCGACTTGTCCGGAATCCATTGAATGGAAGGATTCAGCTTTAGATTCATCAGGAGGAATCAGGGTCAGCGAGGAGAAGACCTCAGGGAAATTATGACTATCTTTGAGGATGGGGGCAGGCGGGGGAGAGAAGTCGGCAAAAAGTTGCAAGGAGGTACGAGAGTGGTAGGCAAAAGAGGAGGTTCTGGGGCCCGCATACTCTTGGAAGTCTCAAGGGTGGGGGTGGGGAGGAAGGCTGTGGTGAGAAGGTGGGGTGAAAGGGGGTGGTGGAGGAGGAGTCAGTAGGGTGTGGGATATGGGATCTGGTCCATAAGGTTAAGCTCGAGAGCTCTAAGGATAGGTTGTAGGGGGCCCAAAGGAGTAGAGGAAGTAGCATTTATCAAGATGACTGTAATGGCATCTGAGAGAGGTAACGAGGGAGTATTCAAAGGATAAGGCACGGGGGAGTATGAGGGAATAGTATGGAAGGGGATTGATGCACCAGGTAATCCTTCGACTAGTCAAGAAAGCTCCCATGAGCTTTTTGACCCAATCAATCCATACTTTGACAACCCTCTTTATGATGATCCACATCACAAGGTCGTAATTAGATCCGGGAGGAGAAGGCCGACTTTTTGAAGGAATTTATTTTTAGTTTATTATTGTTTTTATATTTTCTAGTTATTTCCGGTGTTTCAATTGAAGTTAGGGGCAATTTAGGGATCTTTTACGATTTTAGTTTAAGTGAAGAGACTTATGGGGTATTTATATAATGTTTTAACTTAGACTTGAAGTATTAAGGTTTCTAATACTTTTGAGGTGTGAACAGTAAAAACAAACTGTGAATAGTACCAGCAAACCATGTCTGAGGTCACATTTTGTGCAAGGAAAGCTAAAGCCACTCAAATCTAGCCCATTTTGATGGTGTTTTGAATTGTTTTGTCTATTTTATCTATTTTCCTGCATCAAATTGGTATCAGAATCTAAGTTTTCTTCAACAACAAAGCTGGAATCCATAACCCTGTCAAGGGTTTGCTGATTCTAGGCTAAGTTTTGCCAAATCAGCCTAGAACTTGCCGGTTTCAGCTAAGTTTTGTTGGTTCTATGCCTAAGGTTTTTGATGCAGTGAACCTATGGCAATAAGAAGAGGTGGAGGCAGGGGTATTCATATGGACTTACCTCGTGATGAGTGGGATCAGGAGATAGAGGATCTAAGACCTCAAGTTCAAGAACTTACAAGGCGGCTTACATGCATTGATCATGGGCAAAATGAAGTTTTGTCCGTCCACGACAATGTCGAGTACAACCCTTTTCATGATAGAGCTTCGCGAGATGAGTTGAGTGAAGAGTAATATGATCAGAGGTATAGGCAGCACTCAAAATCCATAGATCGAAAAGTAGATATTCCTAATTTTGAGGGAAAGTTGCATCCCGATGACTTTATAGACTGGTTAAACACAATCGAGAGGATCTTTGGTTACCAGCATTGTTGACACCCAAGAAAGATGATTCCTGGGGCATGTGTATGGACAGTAGGGCGATTAATAAAATCACCATAAAATACCGCTTTCTAATACCGCGCTTGGATGATATATTGGACATATTGGTGGAGGCTATGATTTTCTCTAAAATAGACTTGAGAAGTGGTTATCATCAAATCAGAATCATGCTGGGTGATAAATGCATGACCGCATTTGAGACGCGAGAGGGATTGTATGAGTGGCTCATTATGCCATTCGGGTTATCAACTGCACTTAGCACCTTTATGAGGCTCATGAATCAAGTCTTGAAGCCGTATACAAGAAAGTTTATGGTGGTATACTTTGATGATATCCTCCTATATAAGAAAGTTTATGGTGGTATACTTTGATGATATCCTCTTAGAGTTGTTACAAAGGGAGCAGCTATCTGCAAATTTGATGGGGGGTTGTTAGGCAGCCTGAGGGTTTGAAGGGAGGGATGCAGGGTGGAGCCAAATCACCTTCCCTTCAGGGCTTGTAAGGACCTTGAGGGAGTGGCCTTAGACAGAGATGGGTATTGCGAGCCTTCTTGCAGACTATAATAGTCAACTCAAAACAAATGTTGAGACCTATTGTAATCTCCAATATGGTCTTGAGAAAGGCAAGAGAAGCTCGCTGAAGCATCATCCCAGGAGATGTTCATGCAGTACCTAATAGAGAGGATTTCCAGCCATATCTTCTATGGATTGTAGAGGGCTCAACGGAATAGACAAGGGGCTGGATTGATCCTGCTTGGAGGTACTCAGTGGACTTGCATTACAGAGACCAAGCCTCCACATTGGTCTCCAATCTGTTTGAAAGTATGTGAACGCCAGGCATGAAGTGGGGTATTAAGAGGGTAGATCCAAACGTTAGAGGGTTGCACAGCTCTGACTTTTTGGGACCGAGGATGGAAAACATGGCCCCTTTGGCTGGCTGTAGTCTAGAATGAAGTGCAGAGGAGACGCTCCGCTCAGAGGGGAAGCAGAAAAGTACTTGGCTGCCCGAACGTTTGCGACAACCGAAGTTTGGTTCTTTCCCAAATACCGTCACCCCATTTGTCAATACCTCTGAGGGTGTCTCTTTGAGGCTAGAATACCTTTCAACACCTGCTTTAGGTCGAGATGAATTGTTTTCTAGCATCAAAACAACCCTTTCTAAGGGATTTTTGAGGTATACCTTACTTCTACAGTATAAGGTTGGCACCTTATATGAACTTTTTCCGGTAGCTAGAAGCCGGGGATTCACTAGAACTTGGAAGTTCAAGTTCCCTAGAAGCTGGAACTGTTGGTACCAAAAAGTTTTAGAATACTTCTTTGATAATCTAATTGGAAGTTCTCGAATACAAGATCAGACTCCGCATCGATCCAACAAAGCTTCACAGAGATCAAGGTTCATGAGAAAGAGAGAGAGAGAAGAGAGAGAGGAGAGAGAGAGAAAAGAGAGAGAGGAGAGAGAGGAGAGAGAGAGAGAGAGAAAGAGAGAGAGGAGAGAGAGAGGAGAGAGAGAGAGAGAGAGACTAGAGAGACTGAGAGAGCTGACTACGTTA